TCTGCTTCATTTTCGTGAAATCCATAGCGGTCATCGAATAAGATGCTTCAAATGATAGTATCTTTATAAAACCACGGATCCTGTTCTTCCCCATCCAGGCAAATCCTTCTTACTATTTTGTACAGGTTTGGATACAAAGAATTGCACTTTTTAATAAAGAGGTCAAGACTCCATCAGGTCCTGCGTTCCAATTGGGAAAATAGAAAACCATCTTTCCAAATTCGGCCTCAAAAGGGAAAGTATCATGATTGACACAAGGGCTATCCTCCTCTTAGCATCCTCTTGAAACGGTCAAGAATCGCCTTCGACACTTCATCTGGCCAGCTGCTCTGCGAAACCTCGATTCCTTGAATGATAACTTCAAGGGTATTAATCCTACTAGTCCCTGGTTCCGGTAAGCTGGCAGAGTGCTATCCTACATCTTTTTACGAAGCTTTTCACAACCTTATATGCTTTCCCATTGTATTCCACGATTATTCCAGATGCGGTTTTCTTCTCAGACTTTTGCTATCCACATGGCACGAAGCATTCTTGTTTTCGGTTCCGATCTCGTTTTGCAGCGGGCTTTTTTTCGGCTTTATTCGTGCCATGTGTATCATTCCTCTTCATTTTTTCCTTTATTTCGTCTTCGTTGCTTTAGAAGTACTGCTGCAACAAGGGGTTGCATGAGTATTGTTGACCGTTAACTCTATAACGTTTGCTGTCACAACCAACTGATTGCACTGATATTTTCGCCATTTACATCCATCGTCGCATCGCCATAACAGACAAAAGTAGAGCAAAGAAAAGAATAGAAACCAGAAATTACGAGAAAATGTTGTGTTTCATCCCAGATCTAACATATATATATAAATGCGAAATTTGTCTCCCGTTATAAGAGTACACGCTTTTGCTTGATACGCTGTTGCTATAATCGTATGGTCATGCTTGTTCCATTATTATTTAATTCATGTTGTGTGCACAAAATTTAAGTGTAGTAATATTTATTCCATTCAATACTATTGTTCCTTTTTTTGGCATCAATAAAAGGCAATGCGGTATGGTGTATCCATTACATACAAAAAATTCAGTGATCAAACGAATGTAGGTAGAGATGATTATTACGTGGACAACTTGCAGAACAAGTCAGGTTGACATTTTTGCAAACGAAAGCAATTTGGATAAAGTTATTTTTACTGTAAATCGTACAGCAATAACGCAAAGAATTAGGACATCATAATTTGCAAGCATGCTCACTTGAAATTACTACGTGTATCAATTTGTGAGAGTAGGAATTAAGAAGCAACAGAGGGTAAAATGAATGCATTCTGTCAAGTTCACACAATTACAGTCACGAATTCTATTTCAGATCGAAACCTCAAAATTGTAGATAAGATTGTTGTTACAATAAGTGAATTGAGTTTAGGCTGAAATCGAATGCTCTGCTCATTTGTAGAGCAGATTTTAAGCATTCGGAATACAAAATTGTATGCCAGATAGGCGGAGAGTGAAATAGAAAAGTAAAGAGACGGATGAGGGAAAAAAAGAAACAAATATACATTACAGTTAAAGTTTTTCATCCTGACTTCCGCAAATCTTAGCCGTTTCAGAATTTTATTTGCACAAAACATCGTTTGTGGACTGACTGCGCAAATACGTGATTCTTTTGCACAAGTACTCGAAGTCGTATATTTGCTGACACAAAATATTAACATTTCTTATGAGAAAGACATTACCAAAGCTACAATTGCTAAGACCAGAACAATTTATAATTTGGCTAAATGAAGTATTTCCGAACAATAAATATTTCTAAGGAGATGAACCCATATCTTTCTTATTTCTTTCAGCTACATTAATGCAATTATGATAACCTTAAGATCTTAATTATCAATGAATGCCACTGCTCATATCCCTTTTGCTTTTGAATCGGCTTCGTGTCGTAATCCATCTTTCTATTCAATAATTTTGAATTACCATCACTATTCGATATTATTGTCACATTTAATTACAACTATAGCTAAGACCCCTATTAAAATATTATTTCCATCACTCATTTACATGTTCATACTACGCATTATCGTGAATATTGACACAACTATTCTGACTTAGTCTCTGCCTCCCGCAAAATAGTATACTAAAAGAAACTAGCTAGATTAATTACTGATTTATGAAGTTATTTCTTCCTCCTCTTGTGCAAAAAATAATTGAAAATCTGCATTCAATGCATGTAATCAGTGATGAGTGCGCGGCATCTTCCTTACGTGATTTAACCAAAAGGAAGTGCCACTGGTGCCAGCAAAATGGGAAGGAAATAGAACTGAATTAATCCTTATGAACTACCCTCAGATTTAATAGACTCGAACACAACAACTGTTTCTAAATGAAGTTGTATACCAAATCAATTTCAAAACGTTCCGAACACGAAATGAACGTACAGGAACATTCTAGACAGAACCCACTTTGAAATGAGAGAAACATTGGTTGTATTAATTTATTAGTAAACTCAGATCATTTGGAAAATTTTCAAGATGTAAAAACAACGCTCACTATAACAGTTCATTGCAACAATTAATAGCAAAACAGGTGGCAATAACTCAACTTAAAAAAAATAACTGCGTTTCAAATTAAAGATAATTAGATGAAAACTGAACAAAATACATTAAACTGCATAAGAAATTAACATGTGTCCTCATGAAACTATCAAATAAAAACAATCTTGAGCTACTCAAAAAATCTGCTAAACTGAATATTACTTTTCTCCGAAGACCTTCGACTTGAGGAAATACTTAAATCAAATTACTAACAATTTTTTTAGAACCTAAGAAGTTAGATAATGTAAATTCTCACGACTTTCAAGCAACCAATATATCTTATACATGCTACGTAGAAAATGTAATGGATACAGGGCACGTAAAACAGCCTGCATAAATATTCACGATCAGAAGTTTTAGTGCACAAAAAAATTAGATTTGCATGCATAATGATGACTAACAATAGAGCATTTAGCTGTAAAAACCTGTGACAGATTAAAGAAATTTTGAAACATAAAGCGGGAATGTAAGAAAGGAAAATAATATTATAAAGTCCCTAAATACAATATCTCTCACCAGTTATCAATTTAGAACAAGACTTTTACGTAGGAAAGAGTTTCTTATCATGAATGAATTCTTAATTATCAACATTCAAAGTATCAAATGAAGCATTATATAAGTAATTCTGGATATATTACTGATGCACTACCAGTTTCATACAAACTGAATTAAATGACCATATCGAGCAAAAAAAAACATTGAAAATGTACCTAAAGCTAAACCCGTTGTTTGCAAAGAAAGGACAAGGAGTGCATCGCGATAGCCATTTTCTAAAGCTTCTTCCATGGTAGATTTCATTTCAGGCATCTTAAATTCTTACATATAATAATGGGGAATTTATCACAAAAAAAAATTTATAAACTAAGCGAAGAAAAGCATAACTAATAAAAATATGTAATAGAATTATCTCATACCATACACGAAAGGGCAATGTACAGGAACATGCCGCCTGAGAAACCAAAAATATAGCGTAGAAAAGATTCGATACTACCCAATAAAACACCAACAAAGAATCCGATGAAACATGTAACCGTAGTGAGTAGATTATAAAACAAAGCCTGTCTCTGATTCATACCAGCATTCAATAAAATTGCCACATCACCTAAGCAAAACATGCATAATTCTAATTTTTGGCCAAAATAAACCCGAAATAGTACAGCAATACAAAAAAAAAATTAAAATAAAAGAATTATGATAAATCTTACATGAATTATGAATTTATAAATTATTGCCGACTTCATGCAGAGCTAATTTTATTTATTGGAAATATATGTAGAACCTAATTCATGCGGAAATTCCTCTGCAAATACTGCCACGCTCACACTCAATCCACTTAGCAGCGATTCGTTGAAAGCAGCACCAATGCTGACTCCATCTATAAAATTGTGCAAGCCATCACCAAATATAATCATCCATGCGACTGTTTTTATAGCCGAATCTTTATTTCCATTAAATGTTATTTCATGATCATGAACACAGATACCATGTGCCTCAAAATTATTTGTACTTGTAACAAAGACGAAGAATAAAAAAATAAATGGCAAACACATCAGTTTCTACAAACCTAATTTTCCGTCGCTGCAGTAATACTAATCCAGATAACCATTAATTGTACCGAAAGTACTGAGTAAATAGCTAAGATAAGGAGTGATATAGTAAAAGTGCTTTTCATACCTGCCTTGACATATCCAGACTACCAATCACATTACTGCCGCTCCGTCTTTGCGTCGAATGTTTATTAAGCGGCTGCTCTTCCGATTCAGCGACAGAATGCTTTGCATTACCTACAAATGGAGTTAAAAGAGGTATAAAATATGACACAAAAAAATTAAATTTTTTAAATTAATGAACTGATTTCGCAGAATATATGCTTTCATTAAAGAAATACGAGCCAAAACTGGAGGAAAAAGTACCAGATCATAAAATTTACCACGTACCATTTTCACCAATTAATGCATCTGTGGAACGAATAGAAGTACCTCGAGATCCTGCACTTTTCTGAGGCTCAACGACCCCCTTCATTTCGATTTCATTCATCTAAGCAAAGAAGAAACATAAAATTATATGGAATCCCAAAGACAAAAAGCTAAATAACAATAAGTAATGATGTTTCAATAAAACTCCATTATTTAGTATTAATAAGTCTTAAACTTCACATCAAAAAACCTAGATTACGTTCTACATATAAATTAATAAAAAGAAAAAACCTTTTTCGATTCCAGGGTGATTTTAATAAACTTATCGCAGAAAAAAAAAGTGTATATCCCGAATATGCAAAACATCATAACCACAATAAAATCGTAGTTATCACCATCAGTAACTCCTAATCCCTAAATGAGCGAAAAGACTTTTAATTTAATTGGAATTTGAAAATAAGAAAAAGAAAGAAGTGATCGAAATCAGCAATTTAGGACATACTATACAGAACAAATTTATTTTCAACTACATGAGAGAACAAATGACTGCAAATAACTAAAACTATTGTATGAACAAAAAATAAAGACTGAAAACTTCTCTACCAACTTTTCTGTTTGAGCATATAACTATGATTTGAAGACATGTCAATTCAAAAATAAGAGCCTCAAAAAGTATATAAAAATGAGATCATTATGCACCAAAACGAGCTAGTTTGTAAATTATTTGTTGAAGTAGTTGGAGAAGTTTATAAATGCCATTAGAGTTTGTAGTCTCAGCTCATTGCAAAATGATTCACAATAATTCTCAGGTGTATGAACCATTGCTTAACATACATGACCTATCATTTATATAATTTTCTGCACAGTTATTCAACTAAATCTTATTACCCTAATTATGAAACAAACTCTTAATTGCAATGATGTCTTTCTTAATTCTATATTGCAAAAAACACATCACCTTGAACTGATGAAAATTGATGTTAAATTTTATATTTCAATCTTAATAGCATATGGTCCATTTTTAATATTGAAATAATTATATGAGCAAAAACGCTCTACCTGAGGTAGCAAATGAAGTGTAGATGAAGTGACCAGTGAACCGACACCAAGTGATACAAAAATTGTAATAAAATGGTTATATGTTTGTTTACTAAGCTTCTTGACAAATAAAATTCCAACAGCAGCACACAAGCTGATTAGCGTGACGCAAGACAGACCAACAACCCATACTTAAAACAACATAATATATTCAATTTTACCGCACACTATATCATGATACTAGTACAAACTTCAAAACCATAATTAAATTCAAAAACTAATCATAATAACTTCTGAAAAAACTTACTAATGAAATTGGATGGCCGCACATGACGAGAACGATCCAATACCGCAGTTGATTGAATTTTTTCTAACCATGACGTACATAATAATTTTACATCATTAACAGTGAGATTAGATCCCAGAAGATTACTTGTACTTGGAGTCCATTCAAATTCTTCCACAACCATTTCATTAATTCTGCAGGAGCCTGTGATTTCAACAGCTAAAAATTACATGTTGGTATTTCCACATCGGTTATGGGAATTACGAACAAATTAATCGCATTAGTGTACTGATCAAAAATACTTTATAATAACAGCAGCAAAGGTAAAAATATGTAAATATAGCAACTCAATGACTAATTTCGTCTTGCATTGGAGGATAAACAGCAAAAACAGTTACTGGAAAAAAGAAGTAAAATATCCTTACATCACACTAGATTCAAATGATACTTCCTATATACATCTCAAAAATATGAATAATAAATGCAGAAAAGCATTAAAGCTTCTGTGATAATCTAACTGAATTTAACTTTCAAAATAATATATTTGACAACAAAAAGGCATCCTTGGCAGAAACATTAAAACGTAAGAAACACCAGTGGTAATATGACATACTAGCATAAAAAATAGGTTACTGTCTATTATATATTACTAAAGAACTACACAAAAAACTTTAAGATCACTGTAGTAATTCCTTTAAAAGAAGCTCTATATTGTTTAATACAAAATATTTACCGTATTTTATTGTTAACTGAAAATAGTTTTTGGTCACTCGTTATCATAAAACATGATACCTAACATGCAAAACATACAAAATCATGAGAAGCAATTTTTCTAGTCTTTACTATCGATCTATGTAAGATGATCAATTTATAATAACTACTTTTAAGGAATATATGAAAATGTAACAAGGAAATGGACGAAAGTAATAGAATAAATTTTTGCTAACAAAAACTTGAGCAACATTCCAACTGCTTTCAGAAGGTAAAAAATACGGTTGTGTATTCAAATCACAACCATTTTAAGATATTAATTTTGGTTGATAAAAAATTTCATAGAACTTTAGTATATATCCTGAAATTCATATTTCCATATTCATTACACTCATGCAAACATTAAAAGATTTATTTGTAAATGATATTCTAAAATAAAAATTTAACGCGGTAAAACTCAACTTACAAACAAAATCAAACTCAATATCCCGAAAAAGTAAAAATTCTGATACGAATTGAAGTCGAAAGGTTACCACAGATTTTTTCACACTGCAATAAAACGAAATTCTTCTATGTGAGCCTAATAAAATGAAGTATGAATAATAACTATACAGTTTAGAAGAGAGATCTGAATGCAACAGTTAAGAAAATTTGTAACCAAACTAAAGTAAATAAACTTTCAAAATGAATACTGAGCTATAAACAAGACATGAGGAAAGAAAAATGCAAGCAGCGTGAATAGATTGAAGTAGTCTTCAGAGGAAAAAACTAAAAAAGATGAGTGGATACTGCCAGATCTACGATAAACTAGTAAAATTCACAACACAAGACATATACTGACGAGGCAGACGAAGAGATATGTAGACAGAAAAAGTCTTCAGAGAGGTAAGTTATGCTCTAATGTGTTTGTAGTTTAAGAAAATTCACTTCCTTTAATCGAGTGCAAATACTTTGAAAAAAAAACAAACAAACATAAAGATGAAGAGATTAAGTGTAGGTTAGGTGGGTGGATGGATATAAGAATGAATGGATATGAATAGATGTTGAAGGTTGCTACCCAAAGTGAGTGGATACGTAAGCATTTCACTAGAGATACGTGAGCATACGATATACGTATGCATGAAACAATCATGGGTAACATGCATACTTGAGCACATCACCCCTAAAACTTAAAAGTTGAACTTTTGTATTATTTCCAATTTTCTCTCAATTCACTAATATTCTTTTCAACATAAACAATTTTTTTCCAAAAAAAGATTATATAAAAATAATTGCAAATGAACACTGCTATACTTAAAAAACTACAAGAAACAACATTGACACAGCGAGCTATTTCTAATGCATCTTTTATTTTGCTCAGTACTATTTTGAATAAAAAGTGAATTATACAAAAAGCTTACAGCAGAGAAAGAATTTAGAAAAAAGCAGAAAGCGAAGACAAGCGATATTTATCTCAAACACTTGCAACAAGCAATAAAAATACGAACAGCCTTTTCAAATGTCTTAATTGAGGCAGTTAGAATTTCAAACACAAATACAGTACACAAACCCCTGTCTCTCATCTGATTCATCATTCATTCCTCTCCATCCTTAATTCGTGTGCAAAATTGATTTCTGAACCACACTATCATTACTTTTTGCGCAACGCTGACTGCATTTGTTCTGGACACTATGAAAATTTCAGTATCTGAAAGTATCCGAAGTTCCTTCTCAACAGAAGAATTGTATACATCTATGATTACGCATTTATGGATTATTTATGAACTTATGGTGATTAATGGAGTTATTCTTGATGTAATTATCTTTTCGGTTTAGAACAAAAAACGAACTCTCGTTCGGTCATGTACGCATATAATGCTTCTGTAAAAAATGACCGAAAACTGTTGCGTTACTTCTAAATGCTTACAAATAAAAGATAAAAGACAGTTGCATAAAAACTACTTATTTATACTATTTTAAGTCTGTTTTGATTATATATTACGAAACAGAAGTGCCTAATCACATATCATCGCATAATACATTAACATAACTTATTACGGAGAAGGCACATGTGAAGATGCATCATTAAAGCATTGCTAATAGTGCTTATGTAAAGGTGTTTTTAATAGTGAATTTTGGAAACTCTTTGATCCATCAGAGAGTTGGCGTGATATTTTACTGCAACTAACTAGCATTCATGAGCTACATAATGATCATGGCACAGATAGCAATCTGGCATCTATAGGCAAAATGTTGATATCTTGCTCAAAGAAAAGATCGAGCATCATAAAAAACCTCAAAATACTACTTTTCAAGAAGAAAAAAAACTGTTTGTCGTTGTGAAAGTGGCAGAAGAAAGCGACGAAAAGATTAAGAGCAATTAACCTCAAATACTGGTACTTATATATGATTTGTTGACATACTTGAGCAGAGTGGGAATTTGGTAAGAATCATTCAATATTTCGGCTATTCTTCAGAAGGAAATATTTACTGGCTGAAAATTCTTGCAAATTAAGTTTTCACTGGACGAGTATAAACAATGAATTTCTGGAAGTAATTTTAAATGATGAAAATTTGAAACAATGAATTCTAGTGAACATAATGTTAATGCGAATGAAGTAGCATATTGAAAACATCCAACTGATAACAATTCCTAAATTTAGCAGAAATATATGACCTTCAATGCTGCGTTATGTCCTACAGTCACATATGTTGGATACGTTATGCGACAACATTACGAATAAAAATATAGGATGATGCATGCTTAGAGCTGTCACTTGGAAAAAACTTGCTAGGCACCTCTTTTTTCTCACTTTTTTTGTTCCTAAGTTGACTCATACAAAATCTTACCGAAAAAGTTAAATTGTTGCACAATTTTTTGATAATCATACAGCTTCAATTTTTAAGGTGTAATTAAGTAGAAAGTGCTTGCATAAGTTTATTTAGCAAAAATAAATCATAATTCATATTCACAAAAATTCATGAATATAATTGCAAACTCTGAAGTCTTACGAAAGGTAAAATAGAAGATTGAAAAAATTTTGCACTGGATCATTTGCATAGTTTGTCATACAACTGTTACAAAATACAATCAGTTAGTGTAAATGCTAATGTCAATTGTTCTTTTGTTAAGCAACGTAAGTGACCGACATAATTCATCAATTACTAGAGTACAGACTTTGATATGAGGAATATTTTTGAAATGAAGTGTTCTTAGTTTGATTAAAATTCTGATAGCAATCAATTAAAGTCATTTAAGTGTAAAGTGAATCTTTGAATCGTCAATAAAGAAAAATGAAATAGTTACTTTGAATATGGCATATGCTATTACGAGTGAACAAAATTGATGAATCATGCCAAAAATAATAGTGGTATGCTTCATTTTATTATTTGTTTGGTAGTACGATAAAGTGATTTCATTAAATGAAACAGAATTATTGATAATCTTCGCGACAGCTGTTAATTCTCAAGTATGACTTTCAGATCAAATTTATAATTTCCTTTTAATGTGTAAAGTTTCGACAGCAGTGTTACAATTTTTATTCAAAAAATTTTATTTTCTCCTGTTTATGTATCTGCTAATATGCCATCGCTACATATAAACTGACGTAAAAATTCGTTATAATGCATGGCATTTATAAAAGCCTATGAATTTCACAAACGCGAAAGATGCGGAAGTTTTAACTTTTGCGATATATCTTCAGAGAAACTTGGAAGACTGTTGATGTCGATAAAACACTCTGCTGACAGACTAAATATGTTAGTCTTACACTAAACTCAGTTCCTTAGCTATTTATTGCAAATTAAAAGTAACTATGTACGAAACATATGAAAACATCGGTTGCTTGTGTACCTGCAGCAGTGTGGTAGTGAACTAAAATCAGGAAATGAAAAGCAGGACAAGAAATTCCTAAGACAATCATCTTAAATAATTTGAATCTAATATACTATCATAATAAAATCATCCTACATTAAATGCAGTTTGCTTCTTTTCAGTCTTTCTACTTCCATTCCTTTTTGAACATCCCATCTGCAGAAACAAGTTTAGATTCCCCCAGCAATACAGTTGCTTGCAATATGTTTGAGATTCTATCTTCATATGCATATTTAATTTAAATTAAAAATTTTTTTTCATCTGTGTGGAAACACGAAACAAAATCTGCTCATCACACTGCGAATTTTTTTTAACTTTTTACCATTTTCAGAAAACATTTCGTCAGTATTTACTTGGAAGTACTGAACTGTTATATTTTTAAATATACTTCTATTGTGATTTTCACTGTACTGTGCATTTTTACGTAACACTTATTATATAATTTTTCGATAACATTTTATTTATCACTCTACTGCTGAAATTAAGACAGTACAATAAATTTCTACACATGAAAAAATGATTTCAAAAGTAACAAAATGAATGAATAAACCACAAACGGTTTTCATGTAACATTTCATACTTAATGCATTTATATTAAATATGAGAAATCACCTCTTTTT